CGTGTGTTGTCAAACTGATGAAGATGTTTTCTTCATTTGCTGGTGGTTTTTCAATTTGCATGTGTTTTCCTAAGTTGCAGCCCGTTGAGCTCTCTCGGCCACCGTACTACGTGATCAGAATTTGAGAACAGTAATAACTGTAGCACGAAAGAAGATTACAACTAAAATTTTGGAGGGTTACAGCTGTCAGAATGTAGTAAGAAGTGAGGCCTTTGAATGACTTCAGCACATCTGCGGCTGCAGGACATCATTAGTTTCTCAGACTGCGCTGGTGTGATCTTGGTCCACTCTTCTTCCAGTCTCTTCCACAGTTCGGTAACTGTAATGGGTTTCTTAGCCATAACTTTGTCGCCAAGGATTTTCCAGAGACTCAATCAGGTTTAGATCAGGACCTTGGGCCGGCCATTTCATTATTTCAATGTTTTCAGCTTCAAGGAACTGCTTTACCTGTTTTGCAGGTAGTGCAGATCCTTGGTGACAAATTTCCCTACAAACTGATTTCCAAGAAGATTGACTGTAAGTATTTGGCTATTATTCTTCTGCTTTGTTGATTTACAATATCAGGCATGCTGTTGCTGTATTTGTTATGTGAGTATGGCTTCTCTTCCAGTGCCTGAATATCAAGGGGAACCAGATGACATTTCTATACATAAATGTCAAGAAGCAGCAAGGCAGGTTTGTAAATTGCGCACCTTTTGTACTCCGTTTCCTTGGTTGAAGCCTCAGACATGATGTTGTGTGTTTTGTGTGAAGGTGGATGGGCCAGTGCTGGTGGAGGACACCTGTCTGTGCTTCAGGGCACTAGGTGGACTACCAGGACCTTACATGTGAGTCTCTCTCAAGCTCCTTTAAAATCTGTAAATATAAAACAGTGATATGGTGTATGTATAATGCACAGTGCATTAAATAATTTATATTAATTAATTATAAATGTTTTTCCCTCCACAGAAAATGGTTCTTGGATAAACTGAAGCCAGAGGGTAAGACACTTTAATAAAGATGTAGGTTCCTACTGAACCTACTCCTATTTTAGTTTAATTTTCAGTCATTTTTTATGATTTTTTTTTTTTTAGCTTTAGTTCAGTTTTAGTTTTTGTTCTTTTCAAGTTAGTAATCTTAGTGCTTAAACAAAATTTTAACTCAATTTAAAATGATTTCAGTTAGTTGCCAAGTCAATGTTTCTAATTTTAGGGTTTTACCCTTAATATTATTATTTTATGTTATTTTTATTTCGCTTTATTTCTTAATAAGTCATATTTACTGCAGAGGCTAAATTAGTAATATGCAAATTGAGCAGTTTTCTTTATGTTTGTAGGATTGTGTAAATTGCTAGCAGGTTTTGAGGATAAATCTGCCTGGGCTCTGTGTACATTTGCTTTCTGTGCTGGAAAAGACAAGCCAGTTCAGCTGTTCAGAGGAATAACCGAGGTGAGCATGTTTATTTACTGTCCCGTCCCAGTCGTGATGTAGTGGTTTTTACATTGAGCTTTGGTGCTCATACAGGCATTGTAAGATTGAGACTCTCATTATTTCTCTCATATTGTTTCCCCTCTCTTTTCCCCATCATTTTCTGTCTTTACTATCATTATCAATAAATAAACTGAATCCAGATGTACTGTATATAAGCACCACAAATGTATGTACACTACCACTCAAAACTTAAGGGTGAGTAAAATGTTTGAATGTTTTTGAAATAACCGTGTTATGCTCACCAGGGATACATTTATTTTAAATAACTTCTATTTAAGGTTTTCTATTTTAATATAGTTTAAATGCAATTTATTCCTGTGATGTAAAGCTGAATATTCAGCATCATTACTCCAGACTTAAGTGTCACATGATCCTTCAGAAATCATTCTAATATGCTGAT